TTGCTGTAGGCTCATTTACAAAACAGTGGTTCTTTGTAAACACATCGTATGTGCTGGGTCTCACAGATGAGGAGGAAGACATAAGGCCTTCCAGTGAGCCCAGAGCAGGAACTAGTGGTGATGCATCCTGCTGCCAGATTAAGAGAGCCCAGCGATAACAGTGGATATTTAGCAGAGGCATTTTGTCTGTCCATTGAAGGAAAATGTTTCTCAAACAAATGTTATTTAATTTAACTGCCATAGTTTAAGTTACAGCAGGTTTTCAAAACATGAGATTTATGTGAACATATATAAACTCCATGGGCACTGATCCCAGAGGAAATTAGTGACTGTCAGCTGGCAGTTCTTTTGGGAAATGAAAAGGGACTGTGATGCTTGTAATGCATGTGAGTCTCTTTTCTTTGACAGTACATGTTCCCAAAAATGGAAGCAATTGCCCTGGCTTCAAACCTTCAGTAGAAGTCTGAAGAAACATGTCTTCCTTTGAAAAGAAAATAGTACTTGCAGACAATTCTGGAAAGCCAGATGTATTGATGTTAAGATGTAAATATAAATGGCGAAATTGAAACACGATTTTTGGCCATGTGTGCCTGGTATTTACAGCTTTTTTTGGCTTGTGGAGTCAGCACTTAACAAGTTTAATATTGCTTGATACTGCATTGCTKTAAAACTGGGAATCACTGATCATGGTTCATTTGAGGTAAATGGAAATCAAAACCATAAAACATCTGTGGCCTTACTTGCTGCTCTTAAAAGTTGAAATGAGTTTCTGTTGTGATTTTATAAAGCATTTTAGATTATTTCAAGTGTATTAATTACTGTAGAAAATATAGCTACATCTKTGAGTGATAGATGTTAGGTACAAATACTTCTTTGTATTTTAGAATATTGTATTGATTTATTGTATGAATGAATATAATGAACTGTTGGAAGTTATTAATTTGTCACKAAGCAAAAGGTAATTAGCTTAATATAAATCTACTTTTGGAAAAAATAATTATTTTGAAAAAAAAAAAATTCAAAATATTTATGTATTTCCTAAGGTGAAGATAATTACTGCAGAAACACTGGAATTCTGACCATGAGGTAACATGAAGATAGCCATCAGTRAACAGACTCCCTCAACTAAAAATCTATGCAAAGGAAAGATAGAGGCTTTCACAAAATAATGTTCAACTTTAAAATGGTTGTTTATTCACCTCCTTCACAACAGTTTTCCCTTCTTAAGTGGAGATGAAACCTTTTGATCTTTTTTTCTGACARTGATGGCCTGCTCCTGCAGCCTGTAGATAAGTAATCTACATTTGTTACCTCTAGAGAAGTAGTTCCGCCTTTTCTTTGAAGAACTTCCCATAGCTCAGCTGCTTTGGTAATTTAAGTACTGCTTCACGTTTAGCAAAAACTAGAGTTTCTYTGTTGGTTACCAAACAGGAAAGAAATGGGTGACCTGCTCCATGAGTGTTTTAAGATACTGATGAAAAAAGTTTTAGAAACCTTTATTTTGAGTTGGAGAAGTTTATGTTGTGTTGCTAACAATGAAATAATAGGGTTTTAGTAAATGAGGGACAATATAATCTTTTCTAAGTACAGAGCATTTCAGTAAAAAGGTATGCTTTAAAAAAGCTACTTTCATCAAGAAGTTTGCAGCACTGCTGTGCAACTGCAGTTTAGGGCATTTGCCTTAAATTGACAAAGGCTGCATGTTCAGTCTGTACATTTAAAGAAAAAAATCTTAGCAGAATGCTTCTTCCCTGGACTCTTGCCATGCAGGCATTACAAATCAGCAAGCCAACAGAGTCCTGGTCCTGAGTTCTCATGAACATCTCATATTCATTCAGTTTGAATGGGAATTGTTACCATAGTAGTGTGTGAGGGGAACACACTTCCATCTACTGAATGCAAAATGTGCTGATATTTTAGAGCTGGCAGGGGCTCTTGTTCAGGTATTTCAGTTCAGGTACCAGAAACATCCAGTTCCCTATTGCTGGTCCTGTTTCTTTCTCACTGATTATGTGTGCCATAGTTTGTTCTGGCTATACACATTACACGAACTTGTTTGAAGCTTAATAGGAAGACTTTTTCAAGTAACAGTTTTGTAAACAGTGCAAAATCAATGTAGGACTGCTGAAGATCTTAGAACAGCCGGTATACATTTTTAAAAAAAAAAAAAAAATGATATCAGAATAGTAGTGACTTAGTTATAGAGCAACACATTTTTAAGATTCATTATTTGTTTTCATCTGGAAGGTTCTTCAATGGCTTTTTCTAAATGTAATATATGTATATCATATTTATTGACTGCAGTGGGAACAACTAGGATATTTTTCCCATGGAGGGACTCTTCCTTAGAAGTTASTGAAAAACTAAAATACTGATTTTATTATGTCTGTGCATATTGACTGTTGACYATGGGTTTTGTTGTGAAAATATAACCTAGTTTCTAGGCTTCTTAGTCTATAGATAAGGCTGTAGAAAATTAGAAATGAATTAACTATTTCATTGACTACCCTTTATGTTTTGCTGAGTGTTTCCTTTGCTGGCTTTGACTACACCCTTCTTATGCCAGCAGGAAGCTGAACACTTTTGGTTTTGAACTTTTATACAAATTCACTTCAGTCGTAACACATTGGTTTTCAGATAGACTGGGACCAAAAGGCTTAGAGAATAGTAAGAAAGCGCATAAATGTAACATATGTAAATACTGTATCACTTCCTGAAAAATCTGTCAATTACTTATGCTTCTTGGCCGTTTTATCTGCTTGAAACTYCTACAAAGCTGCCAATCTTGGGTACTTCGGTATTTTGTGTAAGTGATGTTGTACCTGGTATGCTGTATGAATATTCTGTACATCTGGTAAATTCTTTCTAAGTGACCTGTTTTTTGTTTTAAGACTTATGGCTTGTTATTCTTCGGTTATAGTGTATTATGTATATAATCCCAATGTGAACCATTAATGGTTCTTCAGTGTTTCCAACATCCAGTGGTCACATGAAAATAGGTTAATTTTAAAGTCAAAACTCTTCCTGTGGTTTTTAATAGCTTCATGTGTGTGCTCTTAAAATTGAAGTTTCTTGCATGGCTGTAGCAAACTCCTCAGTATTTATTTGAAAATGTGGGAGTGAATTAATATGAAGCAAAACAGTCAATAAAGTCTATCTTTAGTATGAAAAAATACTTCCCTAAAAAAGGAAAGTATTTTAATTACATCTAAAGAAGCCTGAGTATGATCTTCACTACAAAAGCCTATGTAAATTATTTGTCAGTGGTGGTCTGCCAAAAAAAAACCTAGGGGACAAAGCAAATCAGACAGTTGAAGTTCATTAATGTCATGTGTGCATCACAAATGCAAAGAGGCTTAAAAGCTACCAGCAGTAGTCAACATATTTGAGAAATAATTTCTGAGTTTGGCTCCACAGTGTGATTTGACCATGGGATCTGGAGAATGAGTTTTTTATGTGAGTTTTATGAAAACTTGCAGCAGAATAAGAACTGGAATATTTTGAAATAATGTCAGTCACAAGTTGTGGTGGCAGATAGAAAAAACACTTCCTCGTTACTCTTTCTTATGGCAGTTTATTCTGATGGCATAATACTCAAATTGTGTTCAGCTTTTTAAAAGGTTCTTTAACAGTGTCAGAATAGTCAGAACAGCTAGGTGTTCTAACAATAAAATCTAATAACTCTCCAACATTGGAGTGTTTTTTTCTGAGACTTGTATAGGATCAGCCCTACTTAGTTACCTCTTCAGCTTTTCTGGAAATCTTCTGTGTGGAAAAAAAATAATTCTGTAGTTTTGTTTTGCTTTGTACATTAACAGTTTAAGAAATTAAGTTATCCATGGTATTGTTGGAAAAAAATATATTAAAGCGAGGTAAAAAACATAATTTCATCAGCATATAGGAATTGTACACTTCYAAAATAAGTATCAATCATATAATTTTCAACACTGATAAAAAATATCTAATTTTTAAGATGAAGGCATGCTACACAATATGCTTTGCCTGATGGCATTTCTTGAAAGAATAAAAATGTTACATTGCTTAAAAAATAAAATACAAAGCTGAAGAAGATACTTAGAAAAGGAATTTCAGATTCTATACAGGTTCTTATTTTACAGTATTAGATACTTAATAATGAAAAAAGTATGTTTAGCTACTAACAGTTCCAAATCTCACCTGGTATCAGTTTTAAAACAACTTCAGCTGCAATACTTGTTGAAAGCATACTGAAAGAATGAACTGCATTAATCACTTCATTATGAAATAAAGTTTTATGCAGATATATTTYGTGTTACCAGAAAATGTCAAATTTCTCCATATCATCACCCCAAGAAGAGAAAGGTAGAAAGAGGCTAGGGAATATTGTTAGATTTTACACTGTGAGGGATGGGAACCTTGCATATATTTCCAGTGCCTGCTAATTTTGAAAGCAAATTGAAATTCTGCTTCTCTATACAGTAGCATAATATCTGACAGTCAATCTCCTGTGTACTAGCTTACTGTTTGAACTCTTTAATTCTCCTTCTTTGGCAGTAGTAGAATCAGAATGTGTGATGTAGATTCAGATTCCACATGCTGGCTCCCCTTTCAATATGCTGAATGTTCCATATCAGATTGSTACCTACTGGTTTCTGGTTTTTAACAAAATATTTAGTTTATAGGCAGTTGTGAAAAATCTCACAAGCGTGAGGCAGTTGCTGCTGGTTGGAGATGATGTGCCCTGACTGCTTTGCAAATCTAGTGAGCTTTGAGTGCTGKTTTTTGTCATTAACAATGCAAGTCAGCTGTAGAACATGGAAGCTTTTCTTGAAGTTATTGAACTATAACAAATTGACATCTAGATGGTAATAATTTTCTCARTATTTTCATCTTCCATTTTCATCCTGTATATATAATTGCACTCATGTGAATAAATACAGATCTTTCAAAACAATAAGCTGATCAGCAATTATAAATTTATGGAAATAYATAACTACTTCTTTTCTTTTTTTCTTCTATAGGGCAGGTTATACCAGAAAGAAGATTTGTAGAAGCAGTAAATCGTGAAGCATATCAGTATCAAATTGGTGACTTTCCAGCAGAATGGGAAGGTAAATCCCAAATACTTTGGTTTTATTTCAAGATTATTTTGTCATTGTATGTAGACTCTGTTATTTTAATGGAAAGCCTGACTGTGTGGACAGTTTGTTATTTTTCATTTTAAGTAAGACAGGCTTTTATTTAACTGCATAACAATTATGAATTCGTAAAGTAACTCTTTAAAAAATAGGATAAATTTTTTTTAGGAAGTCGGTAGTTAATAAAAGTAAAGCCTATGTAGACATGAGTTATTCCTATTAAATGTGAAAATACTTGTGCCTGTGGGGGATCTGACTGAATAACCAGCATGTAAYGTATTAAATAACACAGAACTTCCTTACTATTCCTTCACTGCAGTGTTACTATGCCAGTCAGTTGAGTTATTGGTGGCACAGTGTTTCAAGGAAGTTAGAACATTGCCTTAGGATTAGCTCTTGGAGGAAGAGAGAAATGAGAGAGGGAGTATATGTTGGTCTTTGAGGTTGGTAAGTGCTTGAGCCAATTTAAATGTGACTTAAAATCCAGAACTCTGAATCATAAGCAAGAAACCCCTGAAAGAGTACATAGAGGCTACCCATCACTCAACATGTTTTTTGTAGAGAAAAATGCCTAGGCATCACCCAGAAGTTGGTAGGTTTAAAGCAAACAGATTTTAAGCAATATGTATTTAAGCTCTGTAATTCCTCATTATTGAATATCCTGCTTGCTGGAAGTTTGCATGAGTTCAAAATGATTAAATGAAAGTATTGGTGGGAGAAAAATTGTTCTTACACTGACATTACTATGGTTTAATTTGTCAATGAGCTGTAAATGAATGGAGTCTAGAACATGTTTTGAGGAAATGTCTCAGTATACTAGCTTTACCTCATTCTCTTTCCTTTATGCTCGATGTCCTTCTCTGAGGGAGAATGTTCTGAGCAAAGAGAAAACTCCAGGCCCATTATATCCCTTCATGGAGCCAGTAGAGAAATAGAAAATGTTCTCGTCTTGTGTTGTCATGACACTAACTCCTAGGATTTTTGCTGTGATCAGCTGAGGCTAATATTTGACAGTGTGGTGCCTGGGAGGGTGCAGCTTTTTGAGAGGTTTCATGTGACAAGACAGGGACCTAGAAGTGAAATATGTACCCTCATGGGCATATGTACCTGCCTAAAAAGGTGCAGCTGCCAGACCTGAGGTACACTTTTCAAATCAAGGCATATGTTCACGTTTGTTTTAGAGAAGAAATRACTAACTGGTCAGTCCAGTTTTTATGACCTATGTTTACAGTTTTATTCCTTAACTTCCTCATCTTTGTGACTGTGAGAGGGGTTTTTTTGTGATTTTGTTAGCCAATACAAAGAATTCACAGAGAAACAGAAAATTTGCAGTGTGCAGATTGGGTGATAACCTTTTCCTGTTAAGTACTGTCCTGGTTTTGGCCAAGGACAGGGTTAATTTTATGCGATAACTAGGAGGASGTATAGCTGAGGGGGTGTGGCCAGATGTTATAGCATACCCCCTCAGGTCTTTGCTGGGAGCAGGGGAACAGACTCTGGCTTCTGAGAAAAAGGGTGTGGCTTCTGTCTGGGGAAAAAGTATCGTGATCATCTCATGTCATCTTCAGTGAGCATTTTGCATGTAAATCACCCTCTTTTGAATACTTTTGTTATTAGCATTGTTGCTGTTACTGTATGTTTCCTTATCTTATTACTGTTTCCAGTAAATTGTTCTTCTCTCAGCCCATGATCTTTGCCTTTTGTGCCTCCCATCCTCCTCCCTGGCCACCCTCGGTGAGGAAGGGTGGAAGAGAAGGGGAGAGGGAGGGAGCGAGTGGCAGTGTGGTTTGGGGAGCCCTTATGGGGGAAGTTAATTGGCAAGTGCCATTCCAAAAGCACAACAGTACTATATTTCTCTTGAAAGAAGCTATACATAAATGCTTTTCCCCCCGTGCATTCCTTCAGCAGAATGTGTGTGTTGTGTGTGCTTCTGAGAGGTAAAGATGGAAATTCCAGAAAAAAGGCTAACCTGTACTTTTTTTGTCCATTGCCAATCTAACATTTGCAAACTGTTTTGTGGACATAGATCTCAAATAAGCCAAAACTAGTACTTCTGCTGTGGGTGTAGTGGCTGTTCAAAGCCAAAATATGTTGCTACATATTGGGGTGTGAGTTTGGGATGCAGGATGTTCTGAATTTCAATTCATCACTACTTCATTTTTGCCTTCTGTAAAAAGAAAAATTCTCAATGACTTAAAAAGGAGAAATAATGGAAAGTGTAGAAAGGTCAATAATACTGTAGAAGCCAGTTATCTGAGTAAAAATAGTTTTAATTTAAGATTTTTGGATGCTCTGCTGAAAGGCTCATTACATTTCTGTCCCAGTTTTTTCCTCTTTAAGATTTGTCTAGAATTTTTCCCAGGCTCACAGGACCTGTGCTGAACTTTCACTCTGTGTCTTCTGTCCCGACTCTTGAAAATTTCCCCGTATATTCTTTCTGTGGGTGTTCACATAATGTGTGCTGTTGTGGATCCTGATCATACCAGCAAATAGCCTGAGACTTGCAGGAGTTCTAATACTTTCTGTTTCCTCTGGTCAGTAAAAGATGATATGATGTTAGAAGGTTGTTTAATATTTCTTACTTTGTTTTCTCCTTGCTCTGCTGGGCACAAGGTTACATCTCCAAGGGCCTCCTMTCCAACCCCTGTGTATGTCCTTTGACATCCATGGCCTCTGCTTAAGTTTTGGCTGGCTCTCCTTCCTATCCCTCTCAGGCTTTTCACCTTAAGGACTGTGCTGAAGAGTTTGTTGCCTTATCTCCTCTCCTTCTCTTGGGATCTGTGAAGAGCTGCTTTTATCTGTGCTGTCTTTGTTCTGCCAGGACTCATTTTTCTTTTTCACTTGTGGACAATTCTTCATGGCCACCGCATTTAAAAGCAGTCATCCCAGCACCCTTTCACTCTCTTTGTTATCCTATACGACTGTATGACTGTCTCTATGACTAGAAAAAGAAACCCCTTGTGACCGAAATTAATAAAAGTACCATCCTTGGAAATACTTACAGGCATGATTTGTCTAAGAACTTTCACAAAACCTGGGACAAAGGATAGTGTCCCAGGAAAGGGAACAGGCTGCAGTGAAATTTTAAGAGTCCAAGTTAAATCTCGTTCTATACCTAAGACGTTCAACTTGGACAGCTGGTAACCTAAGGAACTGATTCTGGTCCTGTGTTTTATCGAGTTTTAAACATGTTATAAGGTAAAGAAGACCGASTAGAGAGCTATAAAGCATCATCCAGATCACAGACTCAATCTGTGCAAGTTGTTTCTTTGACTCTGGAGAGGGTGTTTGTGTACTGGTCCTGGGAGCTTACTGAATACAGGGCCAAGGGTTTACTCCTGAAGGACTTGTCTGGAAATTTTCTCCTAAAGATGTTAGTTTTAAGTACTCTGTGGGGTTAAATTATTTACGTTCTCAGACCTGTGCATTTTACAAAAGTTCTGAAATGCCCACCAAGGCTTTTGTAAAACTTAAACAGAATCCCATGTATTATCCTCAGTGTTAGCTCTTTATACACATAAAATACAGGTAATTTTAACTTTAAAAATCCAAAAGTGTATTTCCTCTTCTACTGTAATTTTGAATTTAGAATGCAATCCATATGTATAATACAAATATTGCCTGTTTTTGTTTAGGTGAAGTCTCTTATATTTTACTTCAAAGTCAGAATGCCTACTTTTCCCTAGGTAGTATGGATGCATACAACAGATAACATTTCTGTACTTTAGTCCTGAACGTTCATCTACTGAAGAATGTCTAATTTACCTCTTCAGCACATGTCAATAGTGCTCATGAGGGGACATCTGTAATTTTACATACAAGAGAGATTCAGGAGATTGCATACTTCATGCAGCATTTTATTGCCATCTACTCCTAATCTCTCTTTTTTCTTACTTGGTAACATTTAGTGATTAATTTGAGTCTTTATTTGCGTGTTCACTTTTGTGGTCATTGCAGTGTGTTGTCTGCCAGTAGGAATCCGAAAGTTCAATGAAAATTTTTTGCGTACTAATAAGAATGCAAATGAATGCTGATGAAAGAATGTCTCAAGGTAGGAAATGTCCAGCTTACTTGCAAAATTTCTTTTAGACGAAGCTGGAATTAAAATGAGTACATTCAGATAAAATTAGAAGCATCAGTTTTAAATGGAAGTAATGATTCATTTTGCCAAAGCTTTGGGGAGCAGGGAGGCATGTTTTGGTTGCACTCAGTACATACGTGTAACCTTCTCTGCCAGGTTTAAAACATCTTACTGACAATGGTGAAGGCATTTTGTTTTGTTAGCTTGGGGAATGTGAATGCCATGTAGAATTTTCTCCCATCTATAACCGTCACCTTTTAATTAAGTGTATGCCTGTGTTCCTATGTTCTTCAAATAAAATGTAATTAAGCACCCACCTGCTTTGTTTCCATCAACAAATACTTGACCAGGGTACAATTCTATTCAATAATTTTAACATGCATTCACCAAAGGTGTAATTCAGATCATAAAGAAAGGTGTGAGTGTTTTTTCTTTACTCAACTGTATACACTGATATATTTTCCAAAGAGAATACAAAATATCTAAACGTCAACATATTATTTACTTGAATTTTGTTAAAACTGTGCTAACTCAGTAGCAAATTGGTTATATTTTTGTGTACATTCATTCTTCCTTTACTGCATKAATTTTTCCTATGCCTGAGTTATGAGATGTTGATGCTTTTTTGAACTGYGTGTTGGGTGCTCAAAATTTTATTGATAACTTAAAAATTAAAAATTTGAAAGGCTTTTATAATTCTTCCTGTCTCAAAGAGAATAATGTGAAAATTGATGAGAGTTAAATATATTAGAGTCCTCCCATTCTTATTCCCAAAGATTAAGGGATGTCAGGTGAATTATTATTAAAATKTGTTACTTTTCAAAGGCTGATTAAACTCTCAGATGCTAAACTGCAGTATGCTAAAATGTACTGAATTCAGACGATGTTTTCTTTGCTTTTAATCTTGTATCTTGAGCTTTATGAAGAATATTTGAGAAGTGGATTTGCACAGAGAAATATGATAATATTAAACTCACTTCAATTTATGAATTTTAAAAGTTTTTAGTAATTTTCTTACTGTATTTCTCCCTCAACTACAAGGCAGTGAAATCTTTCATTAAATTATTACTTTCTTATGCAGTTCATTAGAGATATTAAAATTAATTTACTTGTAATAATTCAGAAAATAGTATCAACATTTATGTCAACAAGTTTTATGTACAGTTAAGCTGAAAAAGATTTGTGCTCCTTGCATTTATTAGGAAAAAAAGGAAGGTTGATAGCTCCTGTAAAACCATGCATTCAAGTGTTTTTTATAATTAGAAAGAAAAATAGCATGGTGTTAAAACTGTGTGCATTGTTTATATATTTAAATAGATACAATCTGATTTTGGGGTGTTTGATATGAGAAATCTTCCTAAATTAAGGTTTGTTCATTGCTTTTGAGTATTGGTATGCAGTTCAGTTAATGAATGAAAATGCATTGTGTAATGCTCCTTGCTTCACAGCTTCTCTTCACAGGACATTGTGTTACCCTTCATTGTTTTGTTTGCAGCTTGTTCAACGAGATAGATAGTTAAATGATAAAATCTTTTACTAGAAGTATTTCATTCATCTGAAAATCTTTAGTCAAATAACTGCTAGTTGCTCTTGAAAGAAAATCTATCTTCATGTTTGTATTTCAGCAGTACTTTCTAACTGCAGCTCAATTTTTGTAGGATTTCAAATTCTTTCTGTAGCAATCAGTAATTATAATCAACTGAAGTTAAAATGCAACTGGTGTTTTAAGAAAATTTTAAAAAAAGTGAATCAATTTTTACATGCTGAGAGCTGTGGGATTGAAAACTGGTACTATCCTGTGATAGRTCAGAAGCGAGGTATGTCAAGGTAGAAGATAATATTTTTTGAAAATAATCTTTAAATTTTCATGGTTTAAYGCTTTTTTATGATTTTTTTAAACTACTATTTTTCCTTTTTTTCTCCCACTGTGTATTTTATTGATTAGTATCTAGTATACATACGTCACTGTATCTGAAATCTCTACTATTTGTTTGCTGTTGCTAAATATGGATGAAGTTAATTTCTGTCTGGCGAAAAGGCTTTTGTGATAAGATTTTTTCATTTCGCATTGTTGAGCTTTTTACAAGGATGGTCTGCAAAAACTGCCATCTGAGAAGTGGCAGTCTCTGTTTGGTCTCTGATCTTGCCATATTTTGCAGTTTAAAATTCTTGTAGAGTTTGAATGTTCGTAAGTGCTACAGGTAAATKCAAAAAGTCCTATGGTTCTATGGATTTAATAGAAAGACACTTAATTGTATTTTTGAATTACCTTAATGGGCTGTTTTTCCTTTCCGCTGGCATAAAACTTGCAGAAAGGGTAATGTCTGTTCAGAGCTCAGTCCCTYCTACACAATGGCAAATTGGGGTCTATTCTTCGTTAGGAGCTCTGAGAAGAGCTGTCAGGGGCTGCTTTTAAGAAAGCTATTTAAAGGTAGGTATCTACAGGAATTGGTGTCTGGTAGATAAGAAGTATTATTTAATATTACCTTGCTTCATATCATTACAGATATTTTACCATTAACCTTTATCATTAACCAAGGCTGTTGGCTTTGCCATCCTGGGTAAATTCTGAGCTGTTGTAACATTTTGTCTCCCTTTGTACATATGTTAGTTGGAGGCTATTCTCTCTAAAATCAGTTCTGTACTGCTGCTGAAGCTGTGATGTTAGTGTTTCACCTTCTATGTAATTGCATTTTCAGAAGTGAGATGGTATTATGACTCTGTGAAGGTTTTAGTGTCTTAGACTTGTCTGACTCATTCCTTGGTTCCTCTCAAATTAAAATTTGGAATAGTTCCTTCTTAAGCATTTCTGGAACTTTATAGATAGCTACAGGTGAGGCCTGGAATTTGCCTGGGTTATAGGAAACATTATTTTCACTCCAATTTTCAAGGACAGTAACAAAAGTCTTAATTATCAAAACAAACCTGAAATAACATTTTGGTSCATCTCAGCACTTAGAGGTGGCTTTCCTTATGTTTTTCATTCTGTTCATTACTGGCTACTTGCATTCTGCTTTTAATTAATTTTAAAAATATGAACAGAAAAGAAAGACAAATATCTTTGAAGTATCCAATCAAGTGCCTACCAATTTTGTGGATTGAAAAGGCATGAAAAAATGCTATAGTAGTAAAATTTCTGAAGAGTGATGTCAGATATTTTCTCTAAATAATGTCTGTAATGGTGCTCTCTCTTTTAATTCATTRGCTGAACAAAACAAGACCTGTCAGCATCTGTGATGGGGTCTCTGGATTGCAGTCTTCCGACAGTCCTAGCTAACAGCAGTGTTAGTGATCAGAGGGGGCATACGTCTACAGATTTTGTTCATAAAACCTGACCCACTCTCAATTATCATTGCCACTGCTTTCATTTCTCCATTCCCCTGCTGTCTTTTCCGGCATGAATTGACTGAGATGAAGGSATCCTTCTCCCAGTCACACTACCTGCCCATCTGTGAAGTGGATAATCCCACAGAGCTACAGGATGTGCTTCAGTCCAGGCTCTGCAGTCCCTCAGTCAGGGTTGGGGTTGTACCTTTCATGCCCATAGAGGAATTCCACCTGGTAGTAACATAAACATGTTAAGAGTGCCCAAAGCATGTACAGTAATCCTTTTTCTTCTGAGTGGTCTTCTTCAGTGTGATTTTTCATCAGTCAGCYTGTCATTTTCTTAAGGTGTAGCTCAACTCTGTATTGCAAACTCAGCAATAAGCCTGTGCCATGAGCCTTGCATTCTAGGCTCTGTTTTGACATCCAAGGTGATACATAAACTGTGCCTGAGGTCTGCACATAGAGGTGACACTATCACCCGCCTCTTCCTTCTCTGAAGACTGAGCATTGAAACAGGAAATAGCATCTTGTGCCTGCATTTTGGGAAATGACATGGTTTGCCAGGTTGTAGCAAATTCTGTTGTGATTTTTTCATAATTATTTTCTTTCTGTTACAAATTTATAATAATTTTGAGTTTTAATACTGTTTGTGATTTTTGAAATAATCAGTTTGGTTTTTGTTTTGCAGCATGGATAAGAAAAAAGAGGGAAGATCCACCCACCATTGAGGTGAGATAAAACGTCTTTAGATTTTCAATTGTTGTAATGAAACTACCATAATTAATTTATAGTTAGACTCATCTGAGAAATAATCTGTCAGTTGTGTGGGAGAATTTAGTATATTCCTTGCTTAACTGATGAAAATGTACACTGACTAGATATCTAATACTTAGAAAAAGGTAAAATAAGTGGAAATAAAAACTCCATTTTTCTTCAGTCATTATCTGTGTGAATTCTTTTAAGATGATATACTTCACGTTCTTTAAGATGATCATAACCATTGAAGAGTCTCTTCAATTAAACAAATTCTGAAATTACTCCTATGACTTTTTATATTAATACAAGGCTTTTTCATGGTAGTTGACATTTAAATATGGTAACAAACGCCGCTTCCCATGGATTCATCAAAACACGAAGCTCAATTGCACTAGTATTTTACAGTGCTAATGCCATAGGGAAGTTAGAGCTATTCCTTTATCCTTAAAAGAAAGCAGAGAAGTGTCCCACAGTGTCTTTCATGCTGATGAGTTTGTAAAGAGTGGAACAAGTTTGACTGCTGCTTTGTGTATACAGACACATGCACACACATACATGGCTTGCCCAGGATTTCTGTTACAAGTTGCTCCGCACCAGCTAGGAATGAGAGAGAAGATAAGGCATGGTTTGCTGCTGAAGATTAAAAATGTTACCCACAGAGACAGATCCTTGACTTGCAACTGGAATAACTACATCAAGTTCAGTGAAGATATGTTGGTATCTCCAGCTGTTTGGTCACTGAGCTGTTCATTCTTCTGGAACATTCTACCTTGTGAAGAGTTGTCCTGATTGCCTGTGTGTTGAGATGGCCTGGGGATGCTTGTCAGCTAATGCTGACAAACTGTAATTCATCGACACAAGCTCCCACTCAACATACAGCTTTTGAACTAATTTTCTCTGCTCCTCTTTCACACTTGCCACTGAAGCTATATAGACAGTAAGGGCTATAATGCACCCATGAATGAAAGAAGTTKAAGTTATATTTATCCTTAAAGCAATTCAGGGAAGTACTAAATGTGGGTTTGTTTTTCTATTTTTTAAGCTTTTTTCCTTTCCCTGCCCAGTCTGATTACTTGTGCAGCATCATGGAAGTGATAGTGCAACAGTTGTTCCATSTCAGTTTGACCTAATTTTAATTAATTGTGGTTCATACCAACTGTATGCATACAACTCTTATTGTTGAAATTACCACTTAATGTGATACTTGAAGATGTGAGGTGTTGCATCTTTTATTCKGTCATTTCTGTGAGCCAAGCTGCTGTGATAGTTGCTCTGAGGTAAACCAGTGCAATCAGCCTCAGGTCTGGAATTGGTGCAATAAAATTCCTCCTGGTGCTAGAGATGTTGGTTCATTTTTGAAGTAGGGCACAAGAAGTCTCCACAGGTGAGAGAACTGTGGAACAATAGCATTCTAAATATTTTACCTTCCAGAAAAAAGGAATTTATGGAGAGTGAAAGATTGCTGGGACTAATGGTGTGTTCAGAGTTATAAGACTGCTTGTAGTTTCAGTTTCATGAGATAATAGATCTGAAAAATAATTTAGCATATAGTACTTTGTCTGCAGGGCTGTGCATTGACCTTATCAGAGAACAGAAATGATAAACTAGGAATTTGAAAATAGTTGCCTTTTCAAGTAATCTCTAAGTAGGTTTTTTTTCTGTGTTAGCAAAAGCAATTCAACTATTTGTTAAAAATTCTTGCCAATATTTTGAAAAGAGTGCTCCAGTCATATTTTAAATATGTGATAGTGAAGCTTAGTTTTTTTCTCTATTAGTGTAGGACACGAAGTATGATCTGCTTTTCTCCTAATTTGAAACTGCTATACCACAGACCCTTACACCACAATATTATTACAATTATAATAGTAGTGAAGTACATAKAGAATAGTATTTGGTCCCAATTTGTGGGACTTTGCAGTAGTGTTTTAGCTACATAAACTTTACTAGCTGCTATTCCATATTATATTCCCCTTTTGACAGTAAAGACAGTTTCGTAAACTGCTGTTTGACAGCTATGAAACAAGGGAATATTTGTGGCATGTTCCGTGTTGAAAGCCTGTATAACAAATCMGTTTTTTCATGTATATCTCATGAGACCAGACTATTTCCCAAATTTTGCATTTTTTATTTAATGACATTTTGCTGTCAATATAATATTGTGCAAACCCAAAAGTTCCTAAAGCATAACTTTCTGGAGCTGTGCCTATGTTCCTACTTTGCAGTCTGTAAAACTACTTTTTTGAATGGTTTCCTTTCTTTCMTTGGGCTTTGAAGTTTTCTTCTAGGGTACTGGTTAACAATTGGTTGCCTTTTGATTTTTTTACAGCTTGAAATATGCCAAGTCTCAACTCAGTTATGATAAGGGTGATAACTTGACAAATTAATGCAGGTCAAGTTGTTTCTTATATTCTGCTTAAACATACTCTGTTTCTATGGCAATTAGGGAATCCATCTTGAAATAGARTTCTAGATCATGCCTTCACTCTGTCTAAGTATGTGTGTGTGTGTACAGTACATATACTCCCTAATAACAGGTGAGAATCTGAGCTTGGCTATGTGTATTTTCACAGTCCTGTAGCATCTGTCATCTGTCCCTTTATATATGTCTTGAGTGTGCTCATATGTGGTTGGCTGAGGAAAATCATTACCTTTATTCCTGTGCAGTTCTAAATTATGTTTTAACCAGTTTAACAAGGTATGAATAACTTAGTTGACTAATACATTTCTTTATTATGTGCATAGGAAACTAGTTGTGTGTAGCAAATRTTTTGGTAAATAAGAAATGTGTCATTGTCTAGGGACCTTACAGTTTTAAATTAAAGAAGATGTTTAAAGGCTACTAATATTAAAACAATTTTAATCAAATGCTATTTTGTGGAAGCAGATTGGAAAATTTATCACTTYACGTGCATATTAGTTCACCTACTGAGCATTAATGTTATCAGAATTTATTAAGAGCAGTTATCTTGAGATATAGCTGTTGTTTTATGGAAAGGGTGTTCCATCCATGCAAACTGTATTTTTGAGAGGCTTTGCCTTCCATTCTTCAAGCAATAGTACAACTTCTATATGGCTCATCCAGAAGTTTGTAAGGTAAATGTAAATGTGTTATGTTGCATACGCTCCTACCTCCCAGCTTTTCTTCCGGCTACAGATTTCTCTACTGACTTTAAACATGCACTTTTATATTTTGAATTTTTCACGTATTGTTTGGGAAGGAAAGATGCTCATGGAAATTCGGGAAGAAACCTCCTCTCTTCAGGCCTTTCTGTCTCTAACTTCTGTTTGATCTTTTTGCTTATTTCAGAGGTCATCAGATATGTAGAGGCCTCCAAAGAATCCAGCTATCTATAACACAAGCTATCTGAATGTATTTAGGAATCTCACCTTTATTTTCTCCTGTAATAGTTCTTGTAGCTACGCACTCCTTCTGACAGTGTCCTGAGGTTCAAGGCTATCTAAGAAAATTGACATTAAGGCCATGTCTGTAGAATAGAGATAGAAATAAAGTTACAGACTTTCTTGGAGTGCCAGAAAACTAATGAGGAAACTGCAATTATGGCAAATGCTGACGGAAACTGGTATGGATAGAAACATAATTTATCCCTGAACCCCCCAATGTGGTATCGTGCAAGTGGCGGATGTGAACCTATGGTAACACATCTCTGTTAATRCAGAGATTTGTACCAGATAGCACTGGTGTTCCTTCCTCACATAGGGCTGCACCAATCTCTGTTTGAATTGAAACCTCTCTATTACTTTTAATAAATGTGTGTTCAGTACTTCATGGGAAGTATAGTAGAATTGCATGTTCCTTTAATTAGCATAAAAATCCTTAAAACAGTTTGAAATTGAAAACCACAGTAAATGACTGCTTTTCTCATGCAGTATGTACTTGTCACACAGTAATAAAATTCAGTGGTTTTTAAATTGCACAGTTGGATAGCAGGTGAAATGTTAAAAAAAGAAACTTTTTGTGAAGACGCCTCTATTCTTTCTAACTATTTCTAGCATTCCATAATTATCTGTTTTGACAAGCTCCTTGTCAAGAGAGGAAAAAACATACTTCAGTGAATTGTAATAAGCATAAGATTTCTTCCTCTCACCCCTTGAATAATTAGATTGAAATTAAATTCTATTTAGTTCCCACAGTGCGTAGCACTCTTCCCATTTGTTTGATCGTAAGTATTACATATTTGGGAGATGGTATGATCAAAACTACGTTCAGTCATGGAGATTAGTTGACACAGAATTCACATTCCTTTAAGGGGAATGGAATACAGTTTAAAAAAATGCTTTCTTTGACATTGTTGGGATTATGTGTTATAGTTTTGCCTCTGTCTGCTTTCAGATGCTTCAGTTGAGAACTTTTAAAATGAGAACACTGACATGGAGATTGCACATTCTTACATGGAGACTAGGGCTTAGCACATGAGTAATTTGCTCCTGAAGCCACCAAAAGCTGCACAGTATGACTTACAGCTTGAGGAAAAAAAATATTGGAAAAGTACAGGAATAAACATGTCTCTGAGCAAAATATTTCCCACCATTGTTGTCCAGAATCACAACCAAGATTTCAGACATGTTCAAATAACTTAGGTTGCATTAAATAGTACTTTGCATAGTAAATCGTGCATGATTCTAGACAGGATTATTACTCAGTGCAAAAGAGAGTAAAATTTAACAATATAAAGAACTGAGCTACAAAGACCTTAAATAGAAGGGAATAGTCATAGAAGTCAATTTTTTAAAAAAAAAAAAATGAGCACCTGCAGAAGCCACTATCRTTTAGACTTTTTCCTCTTGTCCATTTTAACTTTCTCTTCAAGTTTGAAACGTAAGTGCTTGTCAACCTCCGCAGAGGAGTATGGGGCACCAATTTGTCCCACTGCTTCCAGATTGCCTATGCTGTAGATTCCAAAGTGGCAGAGGAAAGAGCTGCTGCTGCTCTGCTGCTCCTATCCATGTGGGAG